AGATGAGCATTATTTCATGTTTGAAGACCAGCCAAGAACTAGAGTGGCCAGGCCCAGAACAGAGTAGAGATAAGATCAGAGAGTTATGAGCAGGAACTTGATCATATAGGGTTTGGTATGCTCTGGGTCAGATATTATTCTGAATGAACTGGGGAACCATGGGAGCAGAGCAGTGTTGAGATTCATTTATATATTTTAAAGCTCGTTCTGGCTTCTGTCTCCAGAATTTATTTCAGAAGGGCAAGAAGAAGAGCAAAGACACAAGCTGGGAGGTTATAGTAAAAGCCTAAACAAGAGGGAATAGTATTTTAGATTTGGAGGTGATAGAGAAACTACTGATAGTTGGATATGGGGAATATCTGGATATTGAGTATATGGAAAAAAGAAAAGCCACAGAAAGATGTTTTAAGGGGGTCTGGGGTTGTGGCTCAGTGGTAGAGTGCTTGCCTAGCCACGTGCAGAGACCTGGGTTGGATCCTCAGCGCCACATATAAAGAAAATAAAGGTATCGTGTCCAACTACAACAATAACAACAAAAAAGATGTTTTAAGGATAAAAATTAAGTTGTACAATAATTATCCTGCCAAAGGAATTTTCAGAATTATAGCCTGAAGGATTGGTATGCTGGCTGCCTGTTGGCTCTCATCTCCACGCTCAACCTTCCACAGTGTCCTCTTCTGAACTGTCAAGAGGCTAGATGTTTGTAAGGCATGTTTCCTAGCCCTACCCGCACCTGCAACCTGGGAAGTTAATGTCTGCCAGTGGAAACTGATGGCAAATTTTTTAATAGGCAGGAAAAAGTAAAAACCCACTTTCTTCCTGTTTCTGCTCTGACACAGCCTCTGTAAACTGTGAACTACTCCAACTTTCAGCTTAATGGTGGGACGATTGCCTAGCATGCCTGAGGCCATGGGTTCATTCTCCAGTACTGCCAAGTGCATGGGGGTTGGGGGAACATGCATATTATGGAGAAAACATTTAATCTATTCTGTCAATTTAAAATTAATAACATTTTGATTTTGAGTAGTACTGGGGATTGAACCAGAACCTCACACATGCTAGGCAAGTGTTCAACCCCTGAGCTACATTCTCACTATCTCAATTGCCCATTCTCCTGCCTCAGCCTCCCAAGTAGCTGGAATTACATGCATGCACCATTGTCAAATCAATAACTTATAAGATGTTTAAATCTAAAGATCTTTTAATTTCAAGAGAAATCAAGGGTACTAAATATTGTTCTCTAAATCAATAAAGGCAAAAAGAAAACT